GTTATTATTAGTATGTTTCTTTTTTTAAATTATGTGCAAGAGCAGAAGTGAGAGAAAGGTAGGGAGGGAATATAGAATTGGAGGAGTTAAGAGGAATATAGGAGAAGAGGGGGGACGGTGGGAGTTAGGAAAGAAAGAACGGAAGATGAGAAGAAAAAAGAAGAAAGGAGGGGGAAACAAGCATGATGGGTATCTCATATCTCGAACCCCTCTCCCCCTCCCTCATGGCAGCACTGATCCCACAGACAGAAAATTCAGGTGTTTCCAAATGTTGAAAAGGCTTTACTGATATTTCTTACAGTGAGACAAATCTCTTGATAAACGTCATATACACTCGTTACATTTTCATTAATGGTACTGGACCATATATTCCCAAAATATGTTATCTGTTTTTGTTGTCACAATAATTGTGGCATTTGGAGAAGTCAGTCCTATGCTCATGCCTACTCCTTTACCCAGATGAGGAATTAGCATGAACTTTGAGAGAGAACGCTGGAATTGTTCAAAGTTACAGTAGAACTTCACCTTAGTGAGTAGGTCTATTTCCCAGAACTAAATCTGGACTTACTGCCAAGGGTAATGCCTATGGTCCTCAATGAAGAGATTGGAGATAGAATCATTGCAGTCCAAGCTGCACATCAATGACTTTATTACCATCATTTTACCTTTTATATCAGTCTAAGAAATAGTCAAGTGGTTTCCTTGTGATAGAATTCCCTTTTGTTCTTTTTTTTTTTTTAACAAAACAACAAAATCTTAGTTGACCCCAAAAGTTAACTACAACTTTGTTTGCAGTCTTGTAGGGTTGAATAAAGAGTATTAGAATTACCAAAACTGATTTATTGCTGTTTTAGGCTCTGTTCATTGTTGCTTAGGTATCTGAAAGACTAGGTATTTGGTTATGTCATTTTGGGTGAAGGGAAGGATCAAAGTTCAGTTTCACTGATCTTCTCCATCCACAGAGATTGTTGATCAAAGGCTTATGTTCATGCATTCAGCACAGAAGATCTCTTGTGTTCTCTGCAGGAAAGATGAGAATTTTAGACCTTCTATAACTCAGTATTCATCCAAGTAAGACATAGTTATAAGTTGATGTTTAAACTCTTATGTATGAGGGGTGTTCAAGTCAAACCAGGACTTCTGAGTTTAGATAATAAAAGAACAAATTTGAAGAAATTGGAATTGCATTTATTTTTCTACATACTCCCCTGCTACATTTATACATGTATTCCAGTGTTTAACCACTTCCCGCCTGCCCGCAATGTACTGCGGACGGGAGGTAGCTGCAGGCAAAGCGGCATAGCCGTGTGTCGCTTTGCTCTTCTGGGTATAGAGCTTGCGCCCTCCCCCCCCCCCCACTCCCTGCTGACCCCTGCTGTCATTCGTTTTAGGATGTGTATGTCAGCAGGTCTCGGCCAGTGATTTTGGCCGGAACTCTGCCGATCTCCTACAGCAAGTGGAGATGCAGAGCTGTGCCTGTATTTGTAAATATAGGCACAGGATCTAGCTGATTCTTCATTATTCACACAAAGCAATCAATATACACTTACTGGGATTTCTTTTTTTACCAAAGACATGTAGCAGAATACATTTTGGCCTAACTTTGAGTTTACTATGTATTTTTTATAGCCAAAAGTAAAAAAAATATATATTTTTTTCCAATTTTTTTTTTTTTTTTGTTTAAAAGCATGAAAAATAAAAAGCGCACAGATGATCAAATACCACCGAAAGAAAGCTCTATTTGTGTAAAAAAAAGGACATAAATTTCATTTGGGTACAGCATTGCATGACCATGCAATTACCAGTTGAAATAGTGCAGCGCTGTATAGCAAAAAGAGGCCTGGTCAGGAAGGGGGTAAATGCTCACGTGGGCAAGTGGTTAACTAATGCCTGGAAAGCTTCAACATAGAAAGATTTCTCAGTAAACCTGAACCATCCTAAGAGAACTTGCTTCACTTCATCATCAGTGCTGAAATGCTGACCTCTAAGGAACTCTTTTAGGGGTCCAAACAGGTGGAAATAACTCAGAGCGAGGTCCCTGCTATAAGGGGGATGTGGCAGTACCTCCCAGCTGAGTGTAGTGCATTGAGCAGTATGAGCTTATGCGTTGCCCTGGAGAAACAGGATGCCCTTAGGCCATTTTTTTCCGCAGGCACATATGCACATCACTAAAGCATTCCATGCACTGAATGCTCACAGGAATGACTGCTGTGGACTGGGAACCACCACGTCCGGGTTCATCACTGATGGACATATGGCCATCTTTGAAATGTTTACACCATTCAGATATCTTACTGAGGCTGAGCTTCTCATCACCGTACTGTTCTTGAAGTCTTCTGTAGATATCTGCGGGTTTTTCACCTTTGTTCACAAGAAACTTCATCACCACACACTGTTCCATGCATGCACTAACACTGTTTTCTGTCATCTTGGTTAACAGTCTCTGGACTGGCCCGTGACATGTGTGCCACCTATCAGTAATACAAAAAAGAGAAGAAAAGGGGTTTCCTGATCAGTAGCCAACATCTCCAGAATTACAAGATAAATAAAGGGAAAAGACCCCCTATAGGACTTGGGACTTTGAAGGCGTAAATATATACCAAAAAAAGTTTTATAAAAAGTACAAGCTTTTTATTGTTTAAAAAAATTATTTTAACATGTAGACATACCATACAATACATCATCCAAAATCATAGTACAGCATCACCATCAAAGTATTATTTGCATGATAAGGATACTCCGTATGACTATGTTTGACTAGCCATTAAAAATGTTGTAACATCACCATCCATAGATATGATTACAGCGATAGTGTCTATATGAACCAACGCGTTTCGGAGCGACTTTACTCCTTCAGGGAAAAAGAAGAACTATGCATTTGGGTGACATCATCTACAAGACTGAACATATATTTGTTTGGAACATGTATTGTATCCATTACAATATTTTACAATTTACAATCTGTAGATATATTAACAATACATGAAAGTGCAAAAAAAATAGTTGAGTTTTCAACCCATTTAAAAGACATGGTACTTCAAAATGCTGCCACCTCATATGGTTGGAAGACCAGCTGAACCTGGACGTAATGGAACCCCCCCCCCCTGCACGGATCACAAGGGCACGCCACAGGTCACTGCAATAAATAGCTATGCAAATACGTAGGAACACATTATGTGTCATACACTGGTACCATAATGGTCTCATAGGCTAGGAACCCAGCATTAAGTGTGTAAACATCCAGGTCATTTCACACCTCCTGCTCATTATACACAATAGATTATACCCAATAGATGCAATGGAAACCCCCCAGGCACAGATCACAAGGGCACACCACAGGTCACTGCAATAAATAGCTATACAAATAAGTCAACAGTAGGAACACATTGTGTGTCATACACTGTTACCATAATGGTGTCATAGAATAGAAACCCACCATTAAGTGTGTAAATACCTGGATGTATAATGAGGAGGAGGTGTGAAAAGACTTGGATGTTTACACACCTATTGGTGGGATCCTAGTCTATGAGACCATTATGGTACCAGTGTATGGCACATAATGTGTTTCTACTTATTAGCTATTTATTGCAGTGATCTGTGGTGTGCCTTTGTGATCTGTGCCTGGGGGGTTTCCATTACGTTCAGGTTCAGACGGTCTTCCAACCACATTTTGAAGTACCATATCTTTTAAATGGGTTGAAAACTCAACTTTTTTTTCTTCACTTTCATATATTGTGAGTATATCTACAGATTGTAAAATATTGTAATGGATACAAGAAATGTTCAAAACAAATATATGTTCAATCTTGTAAATGATGTCACCCATATGCAGAGTTCTTCTTTTTCCCTGAAGAAGGAGTGAAGTCACTCCGAAATGCGTTAAAATCATATAGAAACTATCTCTGTAATCATATGTATGGATGGTGATGTTACAACATTTTTAATGGCTATTCAAACATAGTCATACTGAGTATTCTTATCATGCAATTAATACTTTGATGGTGATGCTGTACTGTGGGTTTGGATTAGATTGGATTGGATTGTACTTTTGGGTTTGGATATAGTAGGGACCAGGTAAGAACTCTGCCAGGTTTTTTGTACTGTTTGCCATTCATGGGATATCTCTTTACCATCTGATTTTGAGATGCAGCAGGATGTGAGGGAAAATCTCCCTGAAGCAATAGGAATTCCCCTATATGACAGCTGTTACCAAAAGAGGTGTTCCCATTGGAAGACTTAACCTCACCTCATGCTCTGGTGGCAATTTGGGATTTCCCCTCATTTTCTATTTTGGTGACAGTGGTCACAGGACAACAAGACGTGTGAATCCGAGGGAACACAGACAGTAATGAAATCTTGAAATATAATCTAACTCTTCTTCACGCTATTCAAACTCAAAAGAAAAATGTTGTCTTTACGTGCATTTTAAATATATGCCCACTTTAGGTTTAAAAAAGATGTAAGCCAGGAAATTAATATAAGAACATTTTGGCATCTAGCATATGATTCTAGGCACATATTGTATTTTTTATGTTGTTCCTCTTTAAATGAAATATATTTTGTAATATTTGTGCAGAGTTTTATACAAACCTTCCATGGACTGACTTGTAATTTCTTCTTAGAAACCTGAAGCAACTGCCGGTATTTAGACAGTAATGCTCATGCAGTATGATTGCTTAGGTAAATGCTGTATATTAAAAATGTAGGAGAGATCCACAGAGTCTCCTATTCTGAGCTCTCACTGTGCAGTAAACAACAACCTACACACACAAAACTGTCTCCAGGAAGAAGACTCTGAAGACCACATTTAATCCACACTAATAATCTGAAAGAACTGTGTATACATTTGCAGGTGCATGGAAACACATATATTTACCCCTTCTTGAGCTAGAGCCTTTTGAATGTAAGGGTGTTTTTCAATGCATTATTATTATTATTATTATTATTATTATTAGAGATGAGCGAAGTATTCAAAAATTCGATTCGGCGAATTCGCGGAATAAATTCGATTCGAGTCGAAGCTGGGGAAGATAAATAATACTGTCAGTCAGTATGACATGCAGATGAGTGCCGTCGATCTTAGAATCACCGCACACTTCACTCATTTGGGCAGTCACGGGGCCAAAACCAGAGTGTGGAGCCACAGTGTGGCGGTGGAGGCAGCAGCAATGGGAGGCCATACAGCACCCTATGACAAAATGGAACCCACCAGCAGTGTGAGGAGACCTGAAAGTGGCACATGGCAGAGTGTGGCGATGGAGACAGCAGCAATGGGAGGCCGTACAGGGACCCATGAGACACTCTGGACCTGGCAGCAGCATGAGGAGGCGGTACAGGGGCCCATGACAGATTACGGGCCTGGCAGCAGCATGAGAGGAGTCGGTACGGGGCCCATGGCAGATTACGGGCCTGGCTGCAGCAATGGGAGGCCCGTAATCTGCCAGCACCCTATGACAAAATGGAATCCACCAGCAGTGTGAGGAGACCTGAAAGTGGCACATGGCAGAGTGTGGCGATGGAGACAGCAGCAATGGGAGGCCGTACAGGGACCCATGAGACACTCTGGACCTGGCAGCAGCATGAGGAGCGGGTACAGGGGCCCATGACAGATTACGGGCCTGGCAGCAGCAATGGGAGGCCCGTAATCTGCCAGCACCCTATGACAAAATGGAACCCACCAGCAGTGTGAGGAGACCTGAAAGTGGCACATGGCAGAGTGTGGCGATGGAGACAGCAGCAATGGGAGGCCGTACAGGGACCCATGACACTTACGGGCCTGGCAGCAGCATGAGGAGGCGGGACAGGGGCCCATGACAGATTACGGGCCTGGCAGCAGCAATGGGAGGCCCGTAATCTGCCAGCACCCTATGACAAAATGGAACCCACCAGCAGTGTGAGGAGACCTGAAAGTGGCACATGGCAGAGTGTGGCGATGGAGACAGCAGCAATGGGAGGCCGTACAGGGACCCATGAGACACTCTGGACCTAGCAGCAGCATGAGGAGGCGGGGGGTACAGGGGCCCATGACAGATTACGGGCCTGGCCCAAGCATGGCAGATTACAGGGCCCATGGCAATTACGGGGGCCTGGCAGCAGCAATGGGAGGCCCGTAATCTGCCAGCACCCTATGACAAAATGGAACCCACCAGCAGTGTGAGGAGACCTGAAAGTGGCACATGGCAGAGTGTGGCGATGGAGACAGCAGCAATGGGAGGCCGTACAGGGACCCATGACAGATTACGGACCTGGCAGCAGCATGAGGAGGCGGGGGACAGGGGGCCCATGACAGATTACGGGCCTGGCAGCAGCAATGGGAGGCCCGTAATCTGCCAGCACCTATGACAAAATGGAACCCACCAGCAGTGTGAGGAGACCTGAAAGTGGCACATGGCAGAGTGTGGCGATGGAGACAGCAGCAATGGGAGGCCGTACAGGGACCATGAGACACTCTGGACCTGGCAGCAGCATGAGAGGCGGGCTATCACCCTGAGTGACAAGGGGCCCATGGCAGATTACGGGCCTGGCAGCAGCAATGGGAGGCCCGTAATCTGCCAGCACCCTATGACAAAATGGAAAACCACCAGCAGTGTGAGGAGACCTGAAAGTGGCACATGGCAGAGTGTGGCGATGGAGACAGCAGCAATGGGAGGCCGTACAGGGACCCATGAGAACACATCAGGACCTGGCAGCAGCATGAGGAGGCGGTAGCACAGGGGCCCATGACAGATTACGGGCCTGGCAGCAGCATGAGGAGTCGGTACAGGGGCCCATGGCAATTACGGGCCTGGCAGCAGCAATGGGAGGCCCGTAATCTGCCAGCACCCTATGACAAAATGGAACCCACCAGCAGTGTGAGGAGACCTGAAAGTGGCACATGGCAGAGTGTGGCGATGGAGACAGCAGCAAATGGGAGGCCGTACAGGACCCATGAGACACTCTGGACCTGGCAGCAGCATGAGGAGGCGGGGTGGGTGGTATAGGGGCCCATGGCAGATTACGGGCCTGGCAGCTGCAATGGGAGGCCCGTAATCTGCCAGCACCCTATGACAAAATGGAACCCACCAGCAGTGTGAGGAGACCTGAAAGTGGCACATGGCAGAGTGTGGCGATGGAGACAGCAGCAATGGGAGGCCGTACAGGGACCCATGAGACACTCTGGACCTGGCAGCAGCATGAGGAGGCGGTACGGGGGCCCATGGCAGATTACGGGCCTGGCAGCAGCAATGGGAAGGCCCGTAATCTGCCAGCAGCACCCTATGACAAAATGGAAAACCCACAGCAGTGTGAGGAGACCTGAAAGTGGCACATGGCAGAGTGTGGCGATGGAGACAGCAGCAATGGGAGGCCGTACAGGGACCCATGAGACACTCTGGACCTGGCAGCAGCATGAGGAGGCGGTACGGGACAGGGGCCCATGGAGTTCAGATTACGGGCCTGGCAGCAGCAATGGGAGGCCCGTAATCTGCCAGCACCCTATGACAAAATGGAACCCACCAGCAGTGTGAGGAGACCTGAAAGTGGAACATGGCAGAGTGTGGCGATGGAGACAGCAGCAATGGGAGGCCGTACAGGGACCCATGAGAGACTCGGGACCTGGCAGCAGCATGAGGAGGCGGGACAGGGGGGCCATGACAGATTAGGGCCTGGCAGCACCAATGGGAGGCCCGTAAATCTGCCCAGCACCCTATGACAAAATGGAACCCACCAGCAGTGTGAGGAGACCTGAAAGTGGCACATGGCAGAGTGTGGCGATGGAGACAGCAGCAATGGGAGGCCGTACAGGGACCCATGAGACACTCTGGACCTGGCAGCAGCATGAGGAGGCGGTACAGGGGCCCATGGCAGATTACGGGCCTGGCAGCAGCAATGGGAGGCCCGTAATCTGCAGCACCCTATGACAAAATGGAAACACCAGCAGTGTGAGGAGACCTGAAAGTGGCACATGGCAGAGTGTGGCGATGGAGACAGCAGCAATGGGAGGCCGTACAGGGACCATGAGACACTCTGGACCTGGCAGCAGCATGAGGAGGCGGGTTAACAGGGGCCCATGACAGATTACGGCCCTGGCAGCAGCATGAGGAGTCGGTACAGGGGCCCATGGCAATTACGGGCCTGGCAGCAGCAATGGGAGGCCCGTAATCTGCCAGCACCCTATGACAAAATGGAACCCACCAGCAGTGTGAGGAGACCTGAAAGTGGCACATGGCAGAGTGTGGCGATGGAGACAGCAGCAATGGGAGGCCGTACAGGAACCCATGAGACACTCTGGACCTGGCAGCAGCATGAGGGAGGCGGTACGGGGGCCCATGGCAGATTACGGGCCTGGCAGCAGCAATGGGAGGCCCGTAATCTGCCAGCACCCTATGACAAAAAAATGGAACCCACCAGCAGTGTGAGGAGACCTGAAAGTGGCACATGGCAGAGTGTGGCGATGGAGACAGCAGCAATGGGAGGCCGTACAGGGACCCATGAGACACTCTGGACCTGGCAGCAGCATGAGGAGGCGGGTACGGGGGCCCATGGCAGATTACGGGCCTAGCAGCAGCAATGGGAGGCCCGTAATCTGCCAGCACCCTATGACAAAATGGAACCCACCAGCAGTGTGAGGAGACCTGAAAGTGGCACATGGCAGAGTGTGGCGATGAGACAGCAGCAATGGGAGGCCGTACAGGGACCCATGAGACACTCTGGACCTGGCAGCAGCATGAGGAGGCGGTACGGGGGCCCCATGGCAGATTACGGGCCTGGCAGCAGCAATGGGAGAGGCCCGTAATCTGCCAGCACCTCTATGACAAAATGGAACCCACCAGCAGTGTGAGGAGACCTGAAAGTGGCACATGGCAGAGTGTGGCGATGGAGACAGCAGCAATGGGAGGCCGTACAGGGACCCATGCAGATTACGGGCCTGGGCAGCAGCATGAGGAGGCGGTACAGGGGCCCATGACAGATTACGGGCCTGGCAGCAGCAATGGGAGGCCCGTAATCTGCCAGCACCCCTATGACAAAATGGAACCCACAGCAGTGTGAGGAGACCTGAAAGTGGCACATGGCAGAGTGTGGCGATGGAGACAGCAGCAATGGGAGGCCGTACAGGGACCCATGAGACACTCTGGACCTGGCAGCAGCATGAGGAGGCGGTTACAGGGGCCCATGGCAGATTACGGGGTCCTGGCAGCAGCAATGGGAGGCCGTAATCTGCCAGCACCCTATGACAAAAATGGAACCCACAGCAGTGTGAGGAGACCTGAAAGTGGCACATGGCAGAGTGTGGCGATGGAGACAGCAGAAATGGGAGGACGTACAGGGACCCATGACAGATTACGGGCCTGGCAGCAGCATGAGGAGGCGGGGGGGGGGGGGGGGGGGGGGGGGGGGGGGACAGCAGGGGCCCATGACAGATTACGGGCCTGGCAGCAGCATGAGGAGTCGGTACGGGGCCCATGGCTGATTACGGGCCTGGCAGCAGCAATGGGAGGCCCGTAATCTGCCAGCACCCTATGACAAAATGGAACCCACCAGCAGTGTGAGAGGAGACCTGAAAGTGGCACATGGCAGAGTGTGGCGATGGAGACAGCAGCAAATGGGAGGCCGTACAGGGACCCATGAGACACTCTGGACCTGGCAGCTGCATGAGGAGGCGGTACAGGGGGCCCATGACAGATTACGGGCCTGGCAGCAGCATGAGGAGTCGGTACGGGGGCCCCATGGCAGATTACGGGCCTGGCCAGCAGCAATGGGAGGCCCGTAATCTGCCAGCACCCTATGACAAAATGGAACCACACAGCAGTGTGAGGAGACCTGAAAGTGGCACATGGCAGAGTGTGGCGATGGAGACAGCAGCAATGGGAGGCCGTACAGGGACCCATGACACACTCTGGACCTGGCAAAAGCAAGAGGAGGCGGTACAGGGGCCCATGGCAGAGTGGCGAAGCGTAAGCAGCTTAAATTGAAGGCCATACAGAGGCCTATGTTAAAAATAATAACATGTTTGGGGCATGATTCATGGCGGATTTAGTCAGTTGTGTCAGGAAACTGGTGGTTTGAAATCCAGACTAATCCACGCCTGATTCATTTTCACAAACGTGAGTCTCTCCACACTTTCGGTGGACAGTCGTGTCCTCCGCGGAGTTACAATACCTCCTGCCGCACTAAACACGCGCTCCGATGCCACGCTACTGGCCGGGCATGACAGCCTTTCAAGGGCAAATTCAGCTAGTTGGGGCCAAAGGTCAAGTTTCATTGCCCAGTAGTCAAGGGGATTGTCTACCTCAGTTGGCAGGGTGCTGTCCAAGTAGGCCCAAGCCTGTTGTTTGAGGTCCTGCTCTCCAGGTCCACCTGATGCTGCTGCTGCTGCGGCTGGTTAGTAGTTTCCTCACTGCGCTGGTGAAGAAAGCTACTCATCATCGACTGCAGACTGAGGCAGCCGCTGCTGGTGGAGCTGCCACTGCTCCTACCACCCCACCCCTCCCCTGCTGCCATGGCAGCGGAACGCGAGCGCACAGGGCCCACAGTGTCTGAGGATGGACGTTGGCGCAGAAAGGCAGAGACCAACACTGACTACATAGGTGGTTTTTATAGTACGTTATTTTGGCCTCCCCTCTCAGCAGGTGTGAAAAAAAGGCCACCATTTTTGAACGGTAGCGAGGGTCCAACAAGGTGGACAGCCAAAAGTCATCCCTCTGTCTGATGGTTATTATTCGGCTGTCGCTACGCAAGCAACCGAGCATGCTATGGGCCATTTGTGCCAAGGAATGCGAGGGCTCCCTGCCTCCATCTCCACAGCATACTGCCACGGTGCGTCTGGGTCCTCTGTCTCCTCTCCTCCTCCTCTACCAGATGCTCCTGCTCCTCCACTCCTGTCCGCTGAGTGGAAAAACCACCCATTTCACTCAATAATTCCTGAGCACAAATGTCCTCCTCTACCTCCTCCTCTTCTTCCTGTCCTGCCCCCACAGGGGTCATGTGGCGTTGAGATCTGTGCGCCACGTCTACCGCACCCTGACCAGCCATTGTTAACAGCATTTGTTCCAGGACGTGCAACAGAGAGGAATGACGTCGTTCATCCCATAGTCCTGCCGACTCACGAATAGCGTGGCCTCCTCAAAGGGCCTGAGCAAGCGGCAGGTGTCACGCATGAGCTGCCAATGGCTGACATCTAAGTTACACAGGGGAGTACCTTTATCGCTTGTAACATCAGGAAATCGGTGATGGCCTTTCGCTGTTCGTAAAGGCGGTCTAACATATGTAGGGTTGAATTCCACCTTGTTGCAACGTCGCAGATCAGGCGATGCTGTGGAATTCCGTTCTGCCGCTGCAGCTCAAGGAGGGTGTGGCTCCGGCTTGGCACTCTCCACCGCGGCGCGGCACAAGCCATCATTTCTCGGAAAGGTGCTGAGTCCACCACTTGGAAAGAGAGAGGGACTGCAGCACCAGCAACTTGGACAGGAGGACGTTCAGCTTTTGCACCGTCGGGTGCGTGCTCGCAAAACTGTTGTCTCTTGGAAACGGATTCCAAGAAAGACTGCTGACGGAATCCGTGAAGAGGAGTAGCAGGAGAAGGAGCATCTGAACGAGCGGAAGATGCCAACGAGCGACAACTCCCCTCAGCAGAGGTGTTGGAGCCTTGACTGGCTGATAGAGGGCGATTGACGTCGAGTGACGGAGCAAGTAACGGAGCGGGTGATGGAGCGGGGGCTGGGGCAGGCAGAACCACCGTATCTTTATCGCGGTTTTCCCAGGCCACCGAAATGGCGACGCTGCATATGCTGACGCAACGCTGTAGTCCCAACATGGGCCCCCTGGCCACGCTTGACTTTCTGGCCACATAGTCGACATACGGCTACGTTTACTTCCGTCGGGCGGCTTGACGAAAAAAATTGCCACACCGCCGAGTAGGAAACTTTGCCCCCGCTACTCCTCACTGGCTGACTGCTACTTCCTCCGTGCACACCGGCACCACTACTGGCCGTGGTGGTAGGCTGCAGTGGAGCTGGTGCTCTACTCCGTGGCCGTTTGCCTCCACTGACACTGCTGCGACCCTGCTGCCTCCTGGGCAACCCACCGACTGTTTTGCTCGCTGCCAAGCTGGCACCCTCTTCTCCTGATGATGCGGAAGCAATAGCCTGATGACGACGAGGCTGCCAAGTGCGATCAGCCTCATCATCATCAATTAGGGTCTCCGCCTCACTACTAGCCCCCTCGGCTGCGTGTGGGTCAGGAGACAGACCTGTCTCTAGACCGGCTACCGAGCCACTCTCCTCGCCAGTACTTCTTCGCTGGCTGCTGAAGAGGCGGATGTCTCCCCCCGTTCCTGACCGCCCTCTGTTAGCTCTTCCTCACTGTACAGTGGGGCTGAGCCCACAGCATGCGATACTTTGCTTGGTGAGGGAAACACCAAAGGACAGGGGCAGGTAGAGGACACGTGATTTCAGTGGGCTTGCTCCCGGGCCATGCCAACTAACGGTTGTGTCTGACGTACCCACCGACGTTGGCTGTAGGTGTCAGAGGTGACCTGGGAAGAGGAAGACGACCGAGCCAACCAATCGATGACGGCAGGGTTGTCGGTGGAGACACGACCGCTGGATGACACCGGGAGCACTGGCCTCTGGCTGCGACTAGTGCTGCCTCGACCCCTTCCTCTGCTGCCACGTCTGCTCGCTCCTGAAACATTGCCTCCTCTGCCACTCCTCTGCGTGTTGTCTGACATACTCTTTAATTCAACGATTCTGTGTCCCTGAGTAACGATTCTGTGTCCCTGAGTAACAATTCTGTGTCTGTCCCTGAGTAACAATTCTGTGTCCCTCAGTAACAATTCTGTGTCCCTCAGTAACAATTCTGTGT